CATCTCTCAATGTATAGGACACATTCCCACAGCATCCATGAAGCTGGGACAGGCTATGTATTGGCTTGCAAGTAAAATAAAATTTCTGACCCTTCAAGGGCCGGGAGCTAGCTCAGTGGCAAAAGTGCAAGCACAAGGTTCTGTTTGATTCCTGGTTCCAGAGGAAAAAAAGAAAGAAAATTTCCAACCCTTCAGGTTCTGAACATTCTTGTTAATATAAACCAATTTCAATTTGGCTGGAAGTAGTCTGTCTTCTCCTGAGCAAGGTCAAGTCTACCATGTTGAATGTTGTGTCTCTAGTTACTAGCACACAACTGAACCCTCAATATAATGAGAGTGTGGGTCCCCTAGCAGCTAAGAAGCATAAACCCAGGAGCCCTGTGCCGGCAATAATATGCTCCTGGAAGATTTCAATGCTTTTTCTAAGTCTTCCCAACTTCCCTTCCTGCCTCTAGCAACTGCCTCAGATTCAGCAGGGATTAAGGCTCAATATGTTAGAATACAGTGATCAAGGGCAATGCACAAGAGACAGCTACTGCTGAAAGGCAGAGAGGATGTGTTGCAGCTAGGGTCTGTCTCCAACCCCAGCATACAGTCAAGGAAGTGAAAACGGTGCAGCATACTGCTTTAATACCGCAAACTTCCGATAAAAGGCCAGAGAAACTCAATCAGCAAGGAATATGGGACATTTGGCAAGAAAAACTATTTAGGAGGCTGAGGAGATGGCTCAGTAGAATAAGCACTTCCCTGGCAAGCACAAGGATCTGAGTTCAATCCCCATTTCACAAAAAAACAAACAAACAAAAAAAAACACCTATTCAGGGAACCCATACTTCCTGCCCCTCTGATTTTTGTAGGCCTCAGGAAATGATGACAAGTCACTGCACACCTCTAAGCACACAGACCAGCAGCTCTGAGCATGCAGACATTTACATTTCTTGTTTCTTTTATCATCCTTTTAAGTTTGCTGTCCTGGATTGCCATAGTATAACAGACACCATTCCCATTCTCCCCTTCTTTCCCTAAGAACTCCTGAAATTTAATTGATGCTGTTGTGCATGGAATTCAACTGTATTTCTCAGGTGTTTTTGCAACTAGGTGTGGTAATGGGATGAAGTTCTGGCCAACAATATGTCAGAAAAAGTTGCTGGATGGGACACTTGAAAAAGGACTTTTTTTTCCCAACAAGGTCTCCCTATGTAGTTCAGGATAGCTCTGAATTAAGCATGTAGCCCCAAGCTAGCTTTAAACTCATAGAGATCCTCCTGCCTCAGTTTCTGGAGTGGTGGGATTATAGACATCCACTATCACACCTGACCATGAAAGCATCTTTTAAAAAGACCAAGTCTTTTGTCCTCTCCAGTTTTTCCTACTTCTTGTGGACCAGGGATGTAACACATGGAAGTCACCTGCTTAGGACAGCAGTTGAAATACAGAGAAGCCGGGTTAACTTCTCAGTCAACATCTTAGGGTGACCTTCCAAGTAGGAAAAAGACATGTTAAAATATTTACCTGCATTAATAAATAATAAAAGCAGAAAACTAACCACTATCCAATTCCCTTGAAAACTCAATGCCATTCCAAAATGGTTTTCCACTTGAAGACATGCCAGTCTTAGAGAAATGATTAGAATTCAATAGAATCAGTAGGCAGTTACCCTGCATTTATGTTTGCTACTTTCAGACCTATCTGCAAATAGAAATTAAAGCTGTCTTACTGAGTAACATTGCCAAATAGAAGCCACAGTCCTATTGAGATTAATAAATTTAAATTCAGACTGAAAGGACACAGCTAACTGCATGTATCTTCATTACCTGCTGAATTATCGAAAATGTAGTGAGTATTAGCTGGGACAATAGGAAACCCAGCACTCCACAACAGTGGGAACAACTTAGATAAAAAGAAAATTCAGTAGGGGTAAATTAGGCGAGTTTATTTTCTAACTGGCAGCATCAAAGGATTTTAGTATGAGGTAGTTTTAGCTCTTAATTTAAAAAAAAATTTCATTTGTTTCTGCTGAACAGACTTGTCAGCCTGTCAGGTTTCCATTTCCTAATAGTTAACAAATTCTCCTAAGGGACTCCAAGTGGATGGTGGCGCTGGGGAGGCTAAGGCTCATGATGTCACTTTCAAAAACTGCTCTTAATTACAGAGACCCAGAATCTGAAGGATTATTAAACTTGGCAATGGCAACCATCTCTTTTTTTCACCCCTGCAAATGAGATAGACTTATGTTGCAACATGAAAAATTTAGATTGGACACTTGGAAGCTTTGCAAGTGAGAATTTTTTAAGCAATAAAAGTATCTTTAATTTTCCCAACAGTGAGTTAATTCTGTAACTGCATTTGTGAAGAGGACTGATATTCTACATTAACTCAAGGCTCATTACGAGGTCCTGACCTGTTCTATCTCCCCACGTGTACAGGCTGGCTCTCTCCCCAGTTCAGAGGCCACGGCCTATGCTAGCCCTGCAGGTAAGTCTGTGCTCTTCTACTGTGTGCCATTTCTCCTACTGGGAATGGACAATTGCCCTCTGAGCAAGCACAGGATTCCCTTATACCAAGGTATTTTCTCACTTGAAAGCCAACAGGAAAAACCATTACTAAACTATGAGAGACAGGCCAGGACAGAGAGAGATGAAGAACCTAAGCCAACACAAGTGGGCCACAGGCACTGGTATGAGCCAGGCTTTTGAATATCCAGTCCCATGCTATTTTCATTAATACCTAGGAGGAGGGCGAATCGCCTTTCTCATCTCTGTAGGCCTCACTTCTTTGGAGAGGTAGGAAACCCTGGGTTTCACAGTCAGCTGTCTGGGTTAAAATTCCAACTCTTACTCACTCAGCAGTGCAAACTTGGGTAATTTAATTATCCCTTGAATCTGAGCTTCCACATCTGTACCACAGAGGGATATGGTCCTGACAGGACTCTATCAAATGAACTACAGAATGTAACTACCTCTAGAAGGGTTCCACAGCTAAATTCAATGAAAACCTGCCATCTTTCTTTATCATTTCTTATCACCACCTCATCTCAATGCCACGACAGGCTACTACTAGGCCATTCCCTGCACTTCTCCTGATGTTCTCCAAGATTTCCTTCCTTTCGATGAACCACTTGGCTAGCTCTGGCTTTGGTGGAAGAGTCTCTTGACAATTTTGGCAATTCCACTCCCATCCTTTCATGAAAGCAGCATATCTGCTGGCCACCCTCTCTCAGAACCTATTTGGATATCACAGTTGCCCCTGTCCCGTGGGAAGCAGAAACAATGAAGGACATATGGCACCTACTGGAAGATTCTAGTCATCAATGGCTCAAATGACTCAAGCTTCTGGACTTCACTTAGGACCTCTACCATGGAGCTCCAGCCC